CTCTCACGCCCTCACAGTCTCACGCACTACTTTTCTCAGTACGTATTGCACTCACCCCTCCTCCTGCTCTCACTATATCATCCCTAACCCACCTACTCACTCACTCACTCACTCACTCACTCACTCACTCACTCACTCACTCACCCACTCATTCCCTCCATCGTCCTCTCACCTCACCACACACGCGCGCGCGGCCGTGGAAGCCTCGCTCGTCGCACGCGCAGCGACAAGTCACCAGGTTTTATGAGAGCGCCAGGGAGCGGCAGTGAGCGGCATAGAGTCATGTTGTTGATGTTGTAGCAGGAGGCAAGACACGCGGCGCGCGGGACGTACACACAGGTCCACAGAAACAAGGTACTCACGGGAACCAGGAACTCGCGGGAACCAGGTACTCACAGGAACCAGGTACTCACAGGAACTGAACCAGGTACTTACAGGAACCAGGAACTTACAGGAACCAGGTACTCAAAGGAACCAGGAACTTACAGGCACTCACAAGAACCAGGCACTCACAGGAACTGAACCGGATACTCGCAGGAACTGAACCAGGTACTCACAGTAACCAGGCACTCAAAGAACCAGAGGAACCAAGAACTTACAGGAACCAGGCACACGCAATGCAACAGGAACCGGGCACTCACAGAAACTGAACCGGGCACTCACAGGAACTGAACCGGGCACTCACAGGAACTGAACCAGGTATACACGGGCCACAGGAACGAGGTACTCAAAGGAACCAAGCACTCCCAGGAAGCAGGCACTCAAAGAACCACAAAAAAACAGGCAGTTACTGGACTTACAGGAACCAGGCACTCACGGGTTCTCTGGACTCCGCACTTTTCTTTTGGACATACAAACATACACACAGTGAGACATACAGCCACAGTGGTGGCAGGACAAAGGTATGACCAAGAATTAACTAGTCAAGTGTATTTAGTTTTCTGTTGTTGCTTCTGCTGTTGTTTCTGCAGTTTTGTTTTCCTGCCCAGGCAGCCGCTGCTGTTATTGTTTTTGTTTAGTTTTAGTAACAGTTTTACGGCGCTCGCAACTGCATAAGGTCATATGAGCACGCACGCTGTTGTTGTTTCTGCTGGCTTTTCTTGTTGCGGTGTCTGTTGCTACTTTAGTTTTCTTTTAGTCATA